TACCAAGGCCTCCACCGGACTGAGTCCAGTACAGCTAGATGGTGCCTGGCTACCACCACTGACTGCTCTGACCAGGATCACAGCAGAGGGTTCTGGACAGAGCTGGAGAAGGATGTAGAACAAAATTATAACTCACAAAAAAAGACCAGATTTACTGGCCTAAAGGAGACTGGAGAAACCCCGAGAGTATGGCCCCGGTCCCTCTTTTAGCTCCGTGGTGAAGTTATCTCTCAGATTCACCGTTCAGCCTGGGAGTGCACAGCCCCATAAGACCAAATGGGACTGAGGCACAGCAGTTCTGGGACAAGGGCCAGAAGGCAGAAGGGGACAGGGAAGCTGGTGATAGGGAACCCAAGGTTGAGTAAAGATAGTGTTGATGTGTTGTGAGGTTGTTAACCATTGTCATAGGGCAACAAGTGTACTAACCGTTAAATGAGAAGCTATTTTGTTCTGTAAGCCTTCGTCTAAAGTGAGAATAGCAGCGCAAGTGGAAGAGCGTAGTTGATGTCACTGAACTGTGCATGCAGAAATTTTTGAAATGGTGTATCTTTGGCTATGTATATTTTCACCAAAAAAAAATGTTGAGAAGGGAGAGGGTTGACATGTTGTGGGGTTGTTAACCAATGCCATAAAACAATATGTGTGCTACTGTTTCATGAGAAACTATTTGTTCTGTAAGCCTTTACCTGAAGTACAATTAAAAAAAAAAAAGTAACTACTAAGATATTGGATTATCACTTGGTATATTAAACAATTTAAACATTTTAATTTGCTGTTGTGTTTCTAGAAAGCCCCTGTTCTGTTTCTAAAATACCTACTTGAATTTTTATTTGAGTAGGCTTTTAATATATTTTAATGGCATGCATATAGTAAAGTAAACTTTAAGGTTTTCCTGACCAATGGATGCAGACATCATCTAGTTTCTAATTAGTCCCTTCCTTGCACCCTGGTTATGAACCTTCAGAAAGTTTATCTAGCCATTTTTGTGTAAGAGATTCAGTTTTCTAGCACTACATGGACTTGGGTCACATATTTCCTGAAATAACTCACCTGGATATGAGTAACTCTCCCCCCAACACCTTGCCCCCACAACCTTTAAGCTCTATGTATCTAGATTGAAAAAGAGGTTCAAGATGACACTGTTCTGACTAATTAACTTGTTTCACTTGGCTTCGACTCTATGGTGCTGATCTGTGATTTATTGGACAGTCTCTAAGCTGAGGTATAAATTTAATGTTTTCAGATACGCATTAAGCACAATCACCCTAATGGCAAACACTATAAATGTGTTCCATTTGCGATGCAGACAAAGAACATAGAAACTAAGGCGGAGAGCTATGTTTTTCATTTGGCAAAACATCACAAATGACCCATCTAGTATGTCAGTAATATTCTAGCATGCTTTGTTAAGATTTTTTCTCTTTCTTTTGAAAGAAAGACTAATACCAAGAATTCATACTAATGTCAATTTTTATTAGTTGATATGAAAAATTATACTGAGATGTTATGATGTTTCATTGCTTTGTTTTTTAGGAGGATATGTTTTGTTTGCTTTTATAATATTGTATTTTTCAAAGTGACACTTGCCAAGTCCCCAGATGAAGTGTGATAGGTATGTTTTTGGCACTTTACAGGATCTAGTGACTAAGGGTGAGGCACACAAGCTGTGATTCCAGCAGGAATATGACACGTATCTATGGGATGACTGGCAGAGCCTTGATCCTGACAGATTAATGCTTCATAGGGAGCTCACCAGACTAAGCCCCTTAAGGGCAGGGCCCACATCTAAGTCTTTACCCACATCTATGTCAGTTGTGGAAACCCTGCTGGCATAGTGGTTGAGTTATGGCTGTTAACAAAACGGTCTGCAGTTTGACTCCACCAGGGGCTCCTATGAAACCCTATGGGGCAGTTCTACTCTGCCCTATAGGGTCCCTGAGTCAGAATTGACTTGATGGCAATGGGTTACATGGTTGTGCCTAACACATCTCCTGGTACTTAGTGAGCACCCCATAAACATTTGGTAAACTAGACCAAATCCCAATTTTTACATTTAGTATGCCAACACAAACTGAGAATCCCCTGAGTGGAAAGTTCTATTGAAGGCACTGTGAGAAAATTTAAAAAAGAAACACCCTTGGTCACAAGGAAATTACAATCTGAAACTACAGAAAACACCAACACAGGAGAACACTTCACACTACTGATAAATACATATACTTTCCTAGTAACAATGAAAAATATTGGAATGGTTCCTTTATAGATTCCAAGGCACTAGGGCATACTCTTCTTCTTTATGTACGTTCCCAAGAAACCTATGAAGGTCTGATATTATCAAGCCCATGAAACACATTAATTCCAGAACTGGGATAAGAATTCTCATAATTTTTTCTCCATATATCAATGCTTTTATTTTTTTTTTTTTGGCTGCTCTTTGGTTGACCACTTCAAGTTCTCCTGCCTTAAAATAGTAAAGACTTATACTTTATCCACTAGATCAAATACATTGAGATCTCATAGCCCTCTAATTATATGTGTATTCAAGTTCAAATAATTATTCTATTCTTTGGCCCAAATGTTTAGAACCAGTGGTGGAGGACATATGCGAGGAATTGCAGGAATTTTTTAGACTATCTTCTAAATTATGTACTCCCCCTCCTGCTCAGAAAGCCCTCCATCACTCACCAAACTAAATCACTTAGCATCCACCTACTCTCTCAGATCCATCCCAGACTATGAGGCAAACCCTTTTCCTTGATAGAATAAATTTGAACTCTGGATCCCAATCAATGAATCACGAAATCCATTGCCTCTGGGTTCCCTTGCCTTCAAACTTTGTTTGAAGCTATTTGGTTAATTATCCAGATCTTGCATAGAGTTTGTATAATTTTTGGCATGCACCTCTACATTGACATTAAAAAGCAGTGTATTGCAGGGGCTATGACCATGAATTCAGGAGCTATATTTAAAGCCTGGTGCCAACACTCACTCACTATGCAACTGAACGAGTTTCTTAACCTTTCTGGGCCTCAGCTTCTTCAACTATAATATGAAGATGGTAATACCACCAACCTCATAAAGGTATGGTGAGGGTTAAACAAGCTAAGGTGTGCAAAGTGCTGAAAATAATACTTGGCACATAGTAAATCATTTCTATATTGTTGTTATTTTTAGCAATACTGTATTTACAAAGTACTTTTCAGTCATATTTTATCAAGACCTCACCAAAATTTTGAGATCAGTCAGAAGCAAGTCCAGCCTTATTACCTGAACCAAGAGTCAAAGGTATGTTTAAGTTCCCACTAAGGAAATAGGATCTTCAAAATTTCATACAAGTCTGGAAATTAATATACAACATTTACTCTTCAATATAACCATTCACAACATTTTAAATTTTTCATATCCTCTTCAGACGTGTGTCACATCTATTTTAGGATTTAATTCTAACTTCCCTGAAATACAATTGGAAAAGTATTTAAAGCATACTTCCACAATTGTCCTTCAAAAATTTTATTACAATATTGTTTTTTCTTTTTGTTCTTGGGAAGACTTCCCATGGATACAGATTTTGGAAAATTAAGAGTCGGTCTCTATTTGTGCTTCTTATTCATTTCTGTTAGCTAAATTTATGCAGCAATTTTTGTAGAAGAATGTCTTCTTCCTTAAAATTTCCACTTTTGTGCATACCGTGTCCTGGGGAGAAGTAGTAATACTCCTTTTTAGAATTCTTCTCTTTTGTCAGGACTGAGCTAAATCACCATGATGAAGGGGACTAAACAATGCCACAGAAAATACGGGTGCTTTGCACCAGTGTGGCAGTACTTTAATCAGTAACTCTACAATTGCAGGATAATTTTTAATTTTTTTTGCAATGACATTATTATTTAAAAAAAATTAGACTCTTTTCTTAAGATGTTCATAGCAACTCTCTAACATATGTCCTGTAAAATTTTATATTATTTATAATAAAATACATGGTATCCTTTCTTTTCCAGACACGCTACTCAATCTGATGTCAGAAAGCTTCAGCATGACTTAATTTGTTTAAGTCAAAGCTTATGGGAAATACAAGCAATTTCCAGTGACTTGATAATACCAAAGAAAAAAAGCATAAATGCATGTCTTGGAGGTAAGTGGGTGCTAGTGTGGGCCTTGTAAGTTAAAAGCAACATTTTATAATCTGAGAAGATGTAATGGGTAGTCAAAGTAATGAAACTAACCCAGGCGTAATGATTAATCTCTGTGTGAGTCACGACCCCGGCAGCTGCATTCTAAATGAACTGCAATCTATATAATGCATTCTCAGGAAGACCAGACAACAAGAAGTTGCATTAGTCTACCGTGCAGATGGCAATACTTCGTGTAGAAGCATACTCAGCTCTGGCCTAAAAGAGCAGAGGTCTAGGGTGAGCAATATTCATAAAAGGGGAGCAAGATATCATGGATGTTTACTGGCTCCAGTTTATCAAAACAGGGTATGGCATTAACTCTTACCTGCTTCAACTAAATGGCTATGATATTTAAGAAAGGCTTAAGCTGAGATGTTTAAGAAAGACTTCGTGGGAGAGGTAAAACTGAGCAGTATCTTGAAAGATGGTTAGGCAGAAAGGCCATTCCCTGTAAGAGACACAGAGCAAGCAAAGCTTGGTCAGGGCATGTGGAAGAACGGTAGAAATTCACAAGATGTGGTACCATCCTTGCCCAGTAGAAGAATAGAATTGATGTTGAGAGGGATGAACGATAAAAATGTCCAGTTTAACCCATAAGTAAAGCATTTTAACAATCCTCTTTTAGAAAGACTGGTAAGGCCTGTAGTACATAGCCAGCCTTATGATGATGGGCATTATCATCTAGAGGGGAGTGGGTGTTGTCAATGAACCCCATTATTTTGGCAGGCAGTTTTTAGGATACATGGATGGTAACTTTGGAGACTGAATCTGGAAACTTCCAGCAGGGGATATTTTTCAGTTGGAAAATGGTAAGAAGAGCCTCCTAATAATGACCAACTTGTACCTGTTTTGAAACAGTCGAGGTTAGAATGGTGGCATTGAACAAGCCACTGCATTAGACCACGAGGGACATGGAAGTTAGTCCTGGTACTGCCAATGACTGGCTACAGGGCCCACTTCTTTGAGCCTCAGTTTTGTTGTCTATAAACGGAAGATGGGCCAGATGATCTCTGAGGACTCACCTTTGAACAACACTTACGTGACACTCTATCACAAGAACTTCAATGATCCTGTGCCTTTGTTGATGGTCAGAAGCTCACTGTAGTCAGGGACCACTATTCTGGTAAACGCACCTGAAAAGTACGCTCATCACCATGCCCATACTTTTTTGTTTCCTGAGCACATAAGCCTAAAAAAACCACACACAGCCTTGCTGTGCAAGTCTCACAGCCTGCTAGGGAAGATACACAGTGTAATGGTAGCCAAGGACTCTATAAGTATTAACTCAGTCCTTCCCATTTTACAGGTGAAGAAACTGAGGCACAGAGAGGTTATGTAATTTGCTTAAAGTTACACAGCTAATAAGTGACAAAGCTGGGCTTAGCGGGCAGGCACTCTTGTGACCCTCTGCAGGGACTGCCTCTCTGAACAGAAGCTCATCACCGTAGCCTGATGAGGCAAATGCCATGGCGGAGCTGTGCCAGGGCATGTAGGAGGACACAGAGGGAAGGTCTTGAATGAGGCACCTTCTTCAATGGCACTAGTGGTAAGGGTCCTTGAGCCCACGAACGTTTGTGGCTGCTGTTATGAGGTTCTCTGGAGCAGTTGTTTGAGGACACATCCTTGATAAGAAATCATATCGGAAATGCATATCCAAGGTCTGATTTCCATTTAGAACAATATCCCCTTTGGCCCCTCCAGATGTTATGGACCTTTGTCAATACAAACACTTTATTACTTTATTTCTCATCCTCACCTCCAGCCACCAATATCTGTCCTAACCAAATATAGCTCTGAAAAGATCAAGCGCATACAACTAGTTGCCTACTAAAATCAGACCTGGCACGTCTGCTTTTTTCCTTGCACTGAAAAGCCAAGAACACTTTGGTTTCCTGAACAGTTCACGTGGGAGAGCTGGGGAAGAAGAACCAAGTGTAACTCGTCAAGGATCATAATCCAGACCAAGGGCCCCTCCCTAAAAAAATCAATTCATTCTCTCTAATGCTTGCATGACAGTCTAAGTTCACTCCTAAAACACGTCAGCTGCTATTCAGTCTCCTCTAGGTCTGTTTCATTAGAGACTCCAGTTAAAAGCCCCAAGTACTTCTCACTCTGACCAGTGTGTCAGAGGTAAAAAGTCCATCAGGGTTTTATCTGCTGATCCAGTCAAGCACCTCCACACCCAACACACTCTCCCAAGGACACGTTGTCTACGTATAAGTCACTCTCAGAAGGTCTTCGAATGCTTATTGCAAAGAAGCCATACTTTTCTTGCCGCTCATTTTACTAAATCAAAAAACATTAAACATAAAGTGCCTCTTGAGGTTTCTTTTTTTCCGCTTAAAAAATTATTTCTCTGAATTAAAATGTGTTTGTTTAATTTTGGATGAGAATAAGCAAGCCCTTTTTTCACCTGCTGGTGGATGTCTGAGCGCTCAGACAGCCTTTCTGAGAGCAAGGAGGTCCCCAGGGTTACCAGCATAATTCTTTTTACTCCGGGGTGCTCAAGCACAGAATTGCCTACAATCAATTTGCTTTCACATCCTGGCATTAAACTCACTGTATATAAAAGTATCACAAGTATTTTCAATATAATTCTAAGTAGCAATGATTTAAAAGGCTTTTTATTGTAATGAAAAAAATTACAAGGCATAGTAAAACTGCACAGCCTATTTGACTGAATCCAATCAAACACAGGTAAGAGTCTCCATAACCTCAGAATGGGTAAAAATAACTTAAAAATTAGGAAAGGCAATTGATAGGAATCATTTTGATGCCTGACAAATAAAGCGATATATTTGAACAATATTTTGACCTTCTGGTTTCTACAATTATAGACTGGATCATAATTTAACTTAGTGCGCTGGGGAAGCAGGGGCCTTTCAAAGACGTCGTTATGGATGTAAAAATATATATTGATATGATATAATCTCCTAAATACACGGCTATTTTTAAAGACAAAACCAGAGAACTTCAATAAAACATACATCATTAGTTTTCAGTACAGATAATGTCTATCATTGCTGTTTGATCAGAAGGCAAGAAGCATGACTTAGGCATCTACAGCCATGGCCATTCAAAGTGATCACCATTAATACCCACACACAGGAAATACCCTTGAGCCTGAGCATAAGTGTAACATAAATGTAAAATACTAATATAACTGTCATTCAGTGCCTCTCACGTAGCAGGCCTGAAATAAATATTTGTTGAATGAATGAGTAAATGAATAACAGGTATCCATATGCATAGTCTGCTTCTCTCTACTTTTTAAATTATGTCATTTTCATTTTTGCCTTTAAGAGCAATGAAGAAAACATCAAAAAATTGAATTACGCTCTAAGACTTGATGGCTTTTGATATTCACAACCCCTCCAGGGTACCAAAACTATCTCTTCTGACTTAGTCCTCAACCTTGGGTCAAAATCTTCCAAGTGTTTATGAAAAGGCAGGGCTCCCACCCCAACCCCTCCACCCCCCATACTCTTTCCTCAATTGGTGTGTTAATGAATCGCCAAAGAGCTGATGGGAAGAACACCGAAGTTGTTATTTTATTCACCAAAGAGACAGAGGAAACAGAGTTGCCAGATAAAATATAGGATGCTTGGTTACATTGAATTTCAGATACATACTGAATACTTTTTAAAGTATAAGTATGTCGCTAGTATTGTATGAGACATTCTTATACTAAGAAATTATCCATTATTTACCTGAAATTCTAATTTAACTGGGCATCCTGTATTTTTGTTTGCTAAATCTGGCAAGGCTTGAGGAAAGCAAACGTTCTGCCCACATACCAGGTGTCTCTACGCAGGCAGACTACGCACGTGAACCTTTGGGTAAGAAGCAATGGCAGAATTATCTTGATACATTATTCAGTGGCAGCCGGCTTTTCATAGTTCACTGAAATAATATTTTTAAAGAGGCTTAATCTTCCAGCTATGCCACATGCTGAATGCTTCTAAAGACAATGAGAGTATTACATGTAGACAATGAAAGATTACGAAAAGTGAAGAAAGCAAAGACAGGAAAAATGTCAAGAGGCAGAATAAACATTTTTTGACATTAACAGTCTCTCTTTTAAGAGGCTATTGGTATGCATATATATTTCTATAGACATATGCTCGGCTAGATCAAAGAAAGACGACTCCTCCAAAAGTCTTGAATTTCGATAAAATGTCAACTGTGTTTTTATACTGTGAAAGAAATTTAGTGCTTATGAGAGGTGGCAGATTGATTGAATGAATGATTATTAATATTTCGTTTGTACAGCTAGAAGGCAGAGGGTATTTGAACATGCAGGCCAGATCTCCATGGCCTAAAGAGAAATTGGCCTGTCTTGGAGCCCTGGGTTGCAGGTCCTAAAAGGGCAGGGACAACAGATGTTGTTACTAGGCAGTGGGTTGAGATATTTGTTCAAATGAGATCTGACATTCCACAAAAGATAGTTAGAAAATTCTTAAAAACCACTGAGTTCATAATCTAAAAACTGACAATGCCCCATTTCTTCCTATGTAAAGTAGTCCCCTGATGTCCAACAACCAAGCAAAGCCCTGAAAAGAAGTAGAGTAAGTAAGTGTTCCTGTTTTCAGACCTTGAGCCTGGTAGAGGTGGCTACAGGGCTTCCTGGTGATATAAACATTAAGCTTGATTAGGGCCTCAGAATTATTTTCCAATAAAGTGCCAGACCATTAAAGCAGTGCTTCCAAAATCTTTCCAAGGGAAAATGGAGAATCTTTTAAACCAGAGATATCATAAACAAAGTCAAAACGAAGAGAGAGAGAAGTGATATTTATTGGACCCCCATGGTCCAGAACTCTGTTAGGTGTTACATATATGTTATTTATTTTAGTTCTCATAATCACACTGTATGGTTGGCACTATTTCTCTCATTTTTCAAATGATAATCTTCTGAGCCTAAGGGAGCTTAAATAAGTTGCCCAATATCTGAGAACCAAAA